ATGAACTTGTGAAAACACACATGAATTACCTGGATTCGTAGTCATGGATAGACGACCGTAAACGGTCATCAACATTGTGTGATGATAAGCTGTCGCACACCACGAATGTTAGTGAGAGAGCTTTCGGTGTTCAGTTAATAAGTATACATAGCCTTTGGTCATCCATTTGAATTTCTCTGTACCTTCTGCAATTAGATCTTTCCGTCTGGTTTTCAAGTGTTCTGCCGCCGTCGTGTATCTTATTTTAACATTCAACGTGGACAGCCTAATGTTTCCACAATTTCCTTCATCTATCGACGGTATCACCAAGTCCGTGCACAGACCAGATTGCGACACTACGGGTCATCGTTGAACAATCAGTTGAGTGGAACTCATCTCTATACGTCAACTTCACTGACTATGAGAAGACGTTTGACAGTGTAGACAGGAGAACATGATGGAAACTTCTTCGACACTATGGAGTTCCTCAGAATATTGTCAACATTATCCAGAATTCATACGATGGACTAAAGTGCAAAGTCGTGCATGGAGGACAGTTGACAGACTCAGACAAGGCTGCCTACTATCCCCCTTCCTCTTCCTTCTGGTGATTGACTGGATTATGAAGGCTTCAACATCTGAGGGAAACACGGAATGCAATGGACGTTTCAGAATCGATTAGATGATTTGGACTTCGCAGATGACCTAGCCCTCCTCTCTCATACACACGAACAAATGCAGACAAAGACAACAAATGTAGCAGCAGTCTCTGCATCAATAGGTCTCAACATAAACAAAGGAAAAAGCAAGATTCTCAAATACAACACGGAGAACACCAACCCAGCCACACTTGATGGAGAAACTCTGGAAGATGTAGAAACATCCACGTACCTGGGAAGCATCATTGATGAACAAGGAAGATCTGATGCGGATGTGAAAACGAAGGTTGGCAAAGCAGGGACCGCATTCCTACAATTGTAGAACATATGGAACTCAAAACAACTGTCGTTTAATTTCAGAGTGGGAATCTTCAATACGAACGTCAAGACTGTACGGAGCTGAAACGTGGAGAACTACTACATCCAAATTCAAGAAGGTACAAGTATTTATAAATAGTTATCTACGCAAAATACTCAACATCCATTGATCGGATACTATCAGCAACAGCGTTTTATGGGAGAGGACAAACCAGCTTCCATCTGAAGAGGAAATTAGGAAAAGACGTTGGAAGTGGATCGGACATACATTAAGGAAATCAGGAATGTGCATTACAAGGCAATCTCTAACTTGGAATCCGGAAGGGAAGCGATAAAGAGGAAGGCCAACACCTCACTACGCCGGGAAATAGAAGCAGATATAGAAAGGATGAATGTTAACTGGAAAGAACTTGAAAGGAAGGCTCAGGACAGAGTTGGATGGAGAATTGTGGTAAGCGGCCTATGCTCCTCGACGAGGGGTAAGTAAGAAAGTAAGTAAGTAAGTAAGAACAACATATTATTATCATCTTTCTAGATAACTTAGAAATTTCTTTCTAATTTGACACAGTGCCAATTAGAATTCTTTATGTTTAGAAAACACACATAGTTTAGTAATGTAACACACTGAAATATAACTAAAATTTGAATTTCACCTTTGATAATATTCTATGATACAATATGTATTGTGTTTGAGACACTGTGACCTGACGAAACTCGTACCATTCTCATTACATTCATTTATATTTAATATAGTGACTAATATTTGATGTAATATTGTATATAATTTCATTTACGTTTTATGTTAGTTTTGTATATAAGCAGCATATATTAGTAGGCTCACTCAATATTCGTCATACTACTAGAGAGAAATGCTACTTTCACTATCATCCAAACGACGGAAACTTTTAACATTTCTTCTCGTGCTCGTTGTAGCTTGTGGAGCGGTTGTTGGAACTGCACTACTCGTACATTTCTTGAAGACAAAGTCTCATGGTCTGTTTATACATATATATCTTAGTTATAGTTATTTCATCATGTTCTTTCTTTACTTACTTATTTGATGATATGACATTTAACATAAGATTACTATTGACTGTGTTAGTAGTCGTTGGTTTATTGTGTGGATATTTGCTTCTGTTTGATGCGTGTTTCTTGTAAATTGGAATATCTAGTTAACAGAGTTTATTGAACTATGTCGAACCATCAGATAACTGATTTCTTGATGATGTCGTCAATTTTTATTACGAATGAGCATAATTCTCTATTGTGAAGTTATTTTCGCTTCACATGGTCTATGAATTTAAGAGTGATCAGTACTTACACGTATGTTGCAATTTAGATGTTAGAACAGTAGGATTCTATGTTTTCAATAACTAAGCGGAAATCAAAGGATACATGCACTTCATCATGTTCGCAACACGTATCCGTTTGTTAGGAGACGCTTACGTATTTAGTGACGGTGGTCAGTAGGAATGAACTCTTGTTTAGTAATTCCTACCGATTATTTAGAATGTACTGATGATGCAACGGATGTTCTAGTTTTACAACTAGCTACCAGTAGCACCTTCTATATTTGATCGTTCCCAGTCAGATAGAAATCAGAAGTCAGACGAGAAGAGGCAGGAAAGATATATTTGATTCGTTACCAATATATCGAAAACCTTTTCTATGAGCTGGCTAATGAAACGTAGGAGCTGTGTCCCACGCCGAGTTGAAACGTGATTTGGTACGGATGCATGATCGAAAGCCTTCAGCTAAAGAAGTCCACTTAAACAACGTGGTCAGCATCCAATGTCGAACACTTAATGAGCTATTGATTTTGGGGAATTATTTACAGCTACAGTACTAATAACAGGTATACTGCAATGACTTAATGAATGAATGATTGATTGAATCAAAGAAAATCATTGTATTCGCGTCGCCTGATATTTGTGCTTGAAAAGACGAGCATCCATGAGGCGAACTAGGAACATAAGAACTGTTACAAGTGAAGATGTATCAACTATAAAATGAGACAATCGCAGACAATAATACACTCATTATGCGTATTAATTGTACATGTAGTTTCGCTACTAAATGAAACAGAATCATATGGATGAAAATGTCTACATACGATCCATTTAGCTTCATCAAATGGGTGAGAATGAGATGGAAGAAATTTGTTTGGGATGAATTTATCACTGAGAATGTAACTTATCTAATAAGCGGTGAATCAGGTAATACGCGTGATATGACATAATGTATTCAGCATTTGTCCAATATCCTTGACAGCAACGAAATATCTCCTACCTTGCGATTTTTCAGTCACTCAGACGAATGATACTAACAGTAGTTAAACCACAATTTTAAAAGAATACCGACAATCAACAAATGTTCAAGGACCGCTTGACGATGAACGGTCTCATTAAGGTACAAACATTATGCATAATAATGTGTTGCCGTCTACGAGTAATTTGGTGGATGAGAACGAACTTGCAACTGTCACAATATTCTTCCTCATTCTTCCTAGTCAATGTCCTTCCGTATTATTTTATCATGCAAAGTTGACTTAGTTTGAATTTCTATACGGTCTAATATGCGCTAACATTAAACAGATACTTGAAATTTCAATTGATATGGGCAAACAAAACATAGAAATTAAAGTGATGTCCAACAATTATTATTCTTGAATTACATTCGTATTTGACTTCACATGGTTGTGTTTGTGAGTGATTGACAGAAAACGTAACTGACACACAACTTCATGCATGATGATGTGAATTCAAACGAAGTGTCTGTGTCACCTCACTGTCAATACACTCATTATTTGTTCATACCTCATTCACAATTCCTCCATAGAACAAGGCTCTTCACCACTCACAAGTGAACCTTCATTACGAGTTGAACAAGAAACGGAGACCAGTAAGTGTGTGAAATGGGTTTTCGAGAGCTTCAGTTTTAATATTTACACTTTGATTAACCAATCGGATGACAAATGATTAGACAAGCGCCGACATGTCCGTCATTATGATGCTTCCGTCTTACTATGTGTTGCTTATCGACACTATTTCCTTTCAACTATGATGGTTTGGTGATGGTGGTAAGTGATGTGATGAATTTCACAATATTATGGTCGGTTTGACTATAGCTTTCGATGATATGTAACTCTCATGTTGTCATTGAAAGCGATGTTGATTGCTTGTCTGTTTCGGGGAATCTCGAATGTAATTTGTTGCTTGTGTTAGTGATGTACTTTAGTAAGTACTTACTGTCTTCTCTGTTTTCTGTATTCATACTTGTGTTGAATCAGCCATTATTAATTTGTCCATCAGATTCACATGTGATTTACGTCACAGAAAAATTTCAGCTGCTCATCTCGTTCTAAAAACTCTCAAGCATTCTTTTTTTCTGAGATTTCTCGTTCACCTATGTTTTCTTCTTTTTACTTCTTCAGTTTTCTTCCCTTCCAAATGTTGGGAAATATTGTTTTTGATTAGAAGGGGTTTTGTGGAGATTTTAGTATTTTCATAGTAAATTGAATATAGACCACCATGGAAAACCTCAAAGCACTGGACGGCCGTGTAGTCTTATTGTAGGAATCCTCAGAAGTGCGCATCCATGATCCTGCACTCGCGAGATTCAGACCCAGGACCTATCAGCCTCTCGCCTGAGCACTTAACCGATAGACCATTGAGCCGGTGTCCAACGGTGTTAATGTCTAACTTCAACCAATCCACGATGTTTGAGCAACCGTTTACCAATTGTCTTCAGTGAGTTGATATCTCTAAAACAGATCTGGTAGAACTCTACCGGTCACTGTTTCCCACTAGAACTCAAGGAAATATCTCTTGAAGTCAGTCACTAGTGAGCATATGTTCATAGATCTGAAGGGATTTTGTGCAGATTTCAGTATTTTCATAGTCGATTGGGGAGTTACATAATAGGACGAAACGGCCGTCCAGTGCTTCCAGGTTTTCCATGGTGGTCTATGTTCAATTGACTATGAAAATATTATTTACTGATTTTTGAGTTTGCATTCAACTTTCTCTTCATGTTTTTGCTTTTGTATTCTTATTACGTTCAATCACCTTGTTGCTTCCGCTCATTTTAAATATATCACTTGGCTTTACTAAACCAATAATTTGATTTTGAAATAGTCCGTCTACGATTTTACCCTACACTCCTAAATTCTCATTACTTCATTCATTCCTAAAGACATGGATTTAACATCAATTATTCTTCACCAGCATATTAAGAAAGACGTTACACAACAGGTTACTCCGTACGAAATTTATTTTGTCTTCTCTCGTTTAAAGCGAAGCCGTGCATTGATGATAGTTATCCAAGTAATGGTACTGACAATAGTATCGACAAAATCTGTGATAGTTTTTAGAAATACTCTTGTGACATATACTCTCGAAATGATTATCTGGAGAATCCACCAGTTACAACAGACGATATCATCATAGAAATGTGTGAGTTTCATTTATTTTATCTACTGTTTACATTTGTTCAAAGTGCATCTAGTTACAACGTGTCAACGTCGATGTAGTTTGTCGCTATTTCTCATTAATACTTCACCGTAGACGTCTGTGTTGAAGACAACAAATAGGGATCGTGATACCGAAAGAACTAGTTCTCACGAATCCAAAATAGATGATGTGATAATCACTTGCTTTTTTTCACCTCTTATCCCAAACTCTAATTAAAAAGAATATGAGAAAACTACATTCAAACATTTTTGAACACGTTTGTTGAAATGAAACGGAACACTTGAATGCATAATAGACTGGAAGGTGGTGTTGATATTCGGAAAGTAATTGATGGTTTCATAATGTGGTGTGGCACATTGAATCAATGTCGGTTGTCACCATTCAAATTATTATATATCTAATATTTCACTTCAGATTTCATGTGCAGTTAGCACTTCGCGCACAAATGCTATTGGAATCAAGATCAACAATTCGTCGAGACGCGTCATCGTTTTTGTTCTGTTAATTTTTCTGAACATTGTAAATTTCGTTAGAAAAAGGGTAGTTAGAAGTCTTCCTCAAAGTAACCAAAGACAGAATGTAAAGACCAGTTGTCTGCACGTACAATAAAGACAGAGTGTTGAACACCATGCAATGGCTCAAATATACCAGATAATTTGATGCTGTCTTCTGGTGTTACGTATTGCTATTCAAAAGTTGGAAATCCAAAGTACTCTGTATTCTGCCTTGTCCTGTTGGTCCGATCGTGCTTCGATAAGCATTGTATCTGAACTGGTTTACAAAGCACTTTGATGTTAGAGTATCTATTCTTGAAAACGTGTGTTCAATTACGTGAGCGATCTCAATGCAATCAATATCTATGTGACATATAGGGATTCTACGAAATAACTACATAGAGATCTGTGTGAAAACAAGATGTATCTCAAACATCGAATTGAGTGTTAGAAAATGACTAGTACTGATCAACACATCGGAATAACTCAGTAACTCAGGGTCGAGTGCTTGGATTTTAACAAATGAATTCAGCATGCTCTTTTACACTCATAAACGTGAGGAATGATATGTGAAATAGAATCACACTTATGGCAGAATCGGATGTTTCAGGCATAACTTAGTGGAGTACTTTACAGCAAACCATCATGTATCACCATCAATCAAATTCGTATGTAATAAATAGAATACTGTCACTAGAACCCCTTTGACGTTACCATTTTGTGGATTTCTTTTGCTTTTAGTAAGACGTGCAGAATACACAAATGTACCGGGTATCAAAGCAGCTAAAAATTTATACGAAACGTGCACGAATGCCTCTTTGATGGACGGTCCGTTGATAGAGACGAAAGTTGTTGAAATGATAGAAGCAATTTTTAACGGATGGCTGATGTCAGCAAATCATTTACATAACCTCAAATCCACAAATAACTTTCTTGAGAGTGGGAAGTTCAATCTGACCGCAATAATTTTACCACTTTTATTTCGAAATGATGTAACACCTTTCTTTGAATTTGGTGATCATTTTAATGATCTACCAGTAGATGCTCCATTCATTTATGTAAGATTTCAAACAATACATGTTTTGGTTATTTGCATGCATTATGTAGTTCTAAATACATAGTTTAGATACTCATTTCAACCTAGAATGCTAACAATTTGAAATTTCCACGAAAGCCAGTAAAATGACTGGACATGTGATCACGTGTGTGAGTAAAGCTTGAATCGGTTTCAAGCGATCCAGATTTTTCTGTGAAAAAAACCTGTGCTTCTCTGTTCGAAAATGAAGCACCATCTTATTTTACAACCAAATTTATCTAACTCAACTAATCCGACATGTTTATTCTCTTCAAAACGAGCGAAAAGGATTGTCACCGCATAGCGTACACTGAATAAAATATTTTGTAAATGAGGACTTGATGATTTCTAACACTAACTTGCATTTTTGAGACTTTTAACATTGACTCGTTCTAAAAGTAAACGTAACTTTGTTCTTCCAGATTCGTCCGGGATCACTTGACGCATTTAACAAGGCGAAGTTAAATATGGTACGATGAAACAAATAAATCAATTCAGTCATATTTAATGCAGTGATCAAGAAAGTTTTATTTATTCGTTTGTTTTTAACCTGTTGCCAGATGTGATACTTATCACAGGAAACAGTTTATTATGTTAATTTGAACAATCAGAGGGGTAAACGCAGTTCAGAGAGATCCATGAAATGATTCTACTAAGTATATGTTGCGTGCACTGTCCCTCATGCTGATATTTGAACGGGTTTCCACCTCAGTCATGCCAATCATTATTCTCAAGTATGTATGGATAAAATGTTTATGAACACGTACTTCATCAAAATAGTGTCTCACCCATCTTCTAATATCTCAACTTTCATTACGTGGAACATTTAGGAGGTGACCAATGACTGATAGTTTGAGAGTGAAAACTAAGAAATACAGGAGAATGCACACACAGGTAGACTGATGAGGAATGCCAAACATTCGATAATAATACTTGAATAACATAGGCACTTAAAAGATGAATATTATCATCAAATGGTTTGATCCTAGCGACGATTAAATACAATTACTAGTTAAGATTCATAAATTGAACAAGAACAAACCCAATAAACATTGTCGTAGGTGTATGAAAGCAGATTTCATTTTGGTCCAAAGATTCACAGTAACAATATCCGTAGAGTGTCCTAAAATGTCTTCGAAGTGTTTTCTCAATTTCCTCCTCAACTGGTCGCTTGTTTGTTGTCTATCAGCGTAGGTTATTACTGATGCCCTACAGTCAATAATCGGAGGATCTTGTATAGGCAATTGTCCATATGCATAAATATACTCTCTTTTGTCTGTAGTCTTGATAGTTTGCTTCGTACAATAGAATCAATGTGACACCATAGTTGAAAATTCCATATTCTGTCTGGAGTAACAGGTTTTAGAATTTCCGGTAAACTTCAATTTCAGGGATGTTTTCCTTTGTAGTACCAGTTCATATGTTAGGCCCATATACTTTATTCTAGTTACTGGCCAAGCCAATTCACCTGTACATTGAGTCATCTTTTGATCTTGTTAATCATCTGCTTATTAACCTTGAGTACTTTTTATATGAGCGCATATGTGTACACTTCGTATCTTATTCATCATATGTCTGTCACTCATTTTTGCCTGCCTATAAATGTTAGTTAACGCTTGCTTAAAATGAGTTGGCTTCCCAGCCATCTCCAATACGCATCATCTTTGCTTCGCTTGCTTACAGTTGCTCATGTGCTTACAACTTTCTGGTCTGCATCGATTATCAATAAAAATGTAGTTGCCGCTTCCCTTTGCCTTCTGATATTATACACCGTTAAGATTGGTATTAATAACGGTTATCGAAGCGAACTATGATCGAAGCACGGCACTACAAAACTGGTAATCCCGACGTACGAACACACAACACAATTAGCGACCCCGACTTACGAACGCGAAAGCATAATTGGATGTCTCGCCGAACGAACATCGACCAGAATCGACAACCTCGACGTACGAACTCACAACATAATTGGCACGCCGTATTTGGAACACGCGACAGAATCGGCAACCGCAACGAGTGAACACAAATCAAAAATGAAACCGCGGACGACATATTTCGTTGATTCTAATAATCATCATATGCTCATTATTACAATAATGTCATATCATCATCTAACGTGGAATTATTATTTTTGCTCGTATTCACATTAAACTATGACATTCACGCAGTCGAATCACTAATCGAACAAATTATAATTATTTGGACATTACACGTTATCATATTCGAAACTCACTGAATTATTTTTATTATCCAATGACGTACAATTTTCCTGATTCAAGTGAGTTCGTTCCAATTTTTTCATGTCGTTTTCGGTCTAATATTACACTCTATCATAGACATAAGTTTGGAGTCACACTCCCGATAGTAGTAACTTATGTTCTCGATAGACAACTAATGTTCATTCATTTCATTGGTACGCAGCAACCGTCGTTTCCTACATTTTCAGCGACAACCTAAACCGAACTTCCGCAATTTTTGTTTCACTATGATCCCTACTTTAATGTCTATACACAAATAAAGTATTCGACGCCGCATTACCAGCCGATTAGTAATGATTATGTTCATATTATCTATTCATTCATATGTATATCTGAATGCTGCATCATCCATTACCGATAATCACAATTCGATTACTACGAATAATATTCTATTCTCAATGCACTGTACGCCAGAACATAGAGTTTAGAGCTAGTCTCTCAAGGATACACTCTTGTTCGTCACATCCAAGTCAGCCTCACTCGCCGCCATCGATAATCATATGTATTGGTATTTTTGTTATGCCTTAATACGGTTTCGTAACAAACGAAGTTGAGCGCATATCCCTCTAACTACACAAACCACGATAGGCTTCATGACCAAAAAGGAATACGACTCCGCATATCTCGTCTCAGCAGTCACTATCCTGTTCCTTTGGTCATTCTACTAATACATATTTAACGATAACTCGACGCAAACGGTAACATACGCTGACTTCGCATTTTATTATCATTATCAGTAGCAGTACAGCAATGAATATCAACCGCTGATGCAGTCATCATCCTACGGCTGGATTATTTTTTATCCCACGTAAACTCCAATCGTGTAAATTCGAATCCACTCATCGCCAATCGACTCTATTTACTCGACTGCAGCTTATCAGAACATATTTCACTGTTATTTATCCTCATATTCAATCAGCACCACAGAGCAATTACTGTTATACTCTATTTTCACTATATTTCAAATCGCTCATACGAACATGTTATTTTATCATTCGGACAGTCACTACATAAATTCATGTTAAATTTTTTCGAACGCTTACTAATGTACTCATAATCACATGCTAGCATCCCTATTTTTGTCCGCACTTTGACAATATTCATGTTCCTTTTTACATAAGTATGACACTTTCGCTCAATACGCTCACCCCTCACATGACACTGTAATTCATCAGGTATTGTACCATTTTTTCCCACATTTTGACGTTATCCTCATACCGCTTCAGTGTTATTTTTCGAAAATAGACATTTTTTTATAAATGTGCTATTTTCTCCAAGGGGGCTATGTAGTACCAGTTCATATGTTAGGCCCATATACTTTATTCTAGTTACTGGCCAAGCCAATTCACCTGTACATTGAGTCATCTTTTGATCTTGTTAATCATCTGCTTATTAACCTTGAGTACTTTTTATATGAGCGCATATGTGTACACTTCGTATCTTATTCATCATATGTCTGTCACTCATTTTTGCCTGCCTATAAATGTTAGTTAACGCTTGCTTAAAATGAGTTGGCTTCCCAGCCATCTCCAATACGCATCATCTTTGCTTCGCTTGCTTACAGTTGCTCATGTGCTTACAACTTTCTGGTCTGCATCGATTATCAATAAAATTGTAGTTGCCGCTTCCCTTTGCCTTCTGATATTATACACCGTTAAGATTGGTATTAATAACGGTTATCGAAGCGAACTATGATCGAAGCACGGCACTACACCTTATCCTGCTAATCCGTGCCCTACATCTGAATACGTTTAATCTCTTCCACAGCTTAGTCATCAAATATGACTTGGTTGTTTTTCGATGCATTTCACTTCATGATCTTGCCTCTTCACTTTTGAACGTTGAGGTGGTTGCACTGATCGAAATCTGAGTGTTGATTGCTCACTGTGTATATGATAGGAGAACTGAATCGCCTACATCGGAGAGAATAATCATCCGTGTGATGGCAGCTGTCTTCTCTCGTTCTCCATAGTGTTGAAGGAGATTCCACCAGGTTCCCGTGTACACGCTATCAAATGCTGTCTCGTAATCAATGATGGATTTACTGAACCCTTGTAGTTCCACCTGTACAACTATTCAATCTTAATTCATTATAATATTTAGTTTGATCACAACCATGTGATCGTCTGATGATGTACCAGCTCGTTTCTGTATTCTGACGTCTTCCACAAACTTTGTCAGATTTCTATTTACGCAAATATGTCTGATGTGACTTCATATCGGTTTGAATGGTGAGATCTTTATAGTGTTTTGTGAACCTGTAAAAGAGAACAACATCCCATGTAACTTTGTTTTCAGACAACAACCACACGCCATTCTCGTGCTCTTCTACTAGTTCACGTTGTAAGACCATCTACGTTGATGATCTATGTCAAAATGATCGGGGGCCTACTATAGTTAGACGAGAATGGGGACGAACCAATTAACGCTGAAGTCACACCTCGCGACCAGCCCTTACGTGGATTGAACCATCGACGCATCAAAGGATAATAGATGCTATGGAGACTGTACAACACAAAGGACGTTATGACAAGAATATATTAGTTAAGGTACAACTACGGAAGTACAGAAGTGAAAGAATAACCACTGCCGCGTGGGCCAGTCCATGGCGTACGATTGGTTTGTGCGCGTTGACTATCCACGACCTTGACAGGGATCAGTGATCTGTTCGATATTCAGTGACCCTACAATACTCCCCCACCAGATTCAACGGCCGTTTGAGTCGATACCAAACATGTTGGGAGTAGTCGCGCGCCGGAGGTTGCCAGACGATTAATATGAATCCTCCGGGTATTGCCGAGCTGCAAAAGAAATGGAAAGGAGGCTGCAGAAACTGATCGGGAAACAACGAGTAATAACACGTAACAAGGACGTTGGCTGAATGTTAAGCGATCAACCATAGAAATAATAGAAAAAGAAACATTTTGGAGTTTTATCAAGTCGCGTTGAAAAATATAGCTCTGACAAGTGGTTGAGTTCCTCAGGTGAGAAAAAGTAAGTTTGTCGCAAGAGTAGTGATGTCACAGTGATAGTACGATAAGTGTATTATCAATCGGTGCCGATGTTTGTACTGCCCTTGGTACAAAGTAGAAAGTCAGTAAGTGTCGCTGACAACCGTTCGTAAGCGTCGATTTCTAGTTATATATATATTCAACAGACTAACTGTAAGTACAGAATTATAACCGTGAAGATAAGTCGTGGTTTCCTTGTGTGAAGCTTCTGATCAACTTGCAGTCAGTTTGGAAAAACTGATAACTGCTGTGAAAATCAATGTGGGTCGAAGAATAGAGAGCGAGAGCGAAAGGTGGCACGATGAAATCTCTAAAAGATGATAATTGGTGAGTGCTGCACACGTGTTTGATGAGTGAACCGAAAAATGTCGAAAATATAAGAAACCAAGAGTGTCACTCTGGACTCATGTCAATGATATCGGTGAAAAATGCTGTCAGTGTTGGGGTCGAGACGACAATATCGTTGTCAGTTTGCAGGAGATGCGCTCGACTGCGTAAACCGATGATTCGCGTGAATGAGTGTCGTCAAACCACCAATTGAACTGGACAGGCTTTAGACCGTCGAGTAGTTGAACAGCCGATTGATGTACCGAAATCATCTGTTAGATAACAGCCATGCGGAAACAATACTTCATAATATGAAAAAATACGACGTCGAAGTTAAATAACTACAATAGTTCGGAGGTGTTGTAATGTCACATCGAAGTAACATTATTTCGTATACTGACAATTGTACTGAACGTTCGTTTGGGCATTGTTTATGTAGCAATTGGATGTGCAGTATCAAACATGTACGAAGACTATCGTGGGGTTTGTGGAGAATTTCAGAAGACGTTTAGATATTTTCCAAACCCGTATTGCATGTGAATAAGCCGAAGACGGAATTAAAGTGACTTTCGTGCAATAAGGAAATCGAGTCATGATTTACTGTATGAGATAACAGCAAACAAAAAAAAGCGCATAGTAAACATTAATTTAAATGGTAACCACCAATGTAACTAAAGTTTAGGTTTAGATAACGTGATCGTTTCGTAAAAAAGCATATTATCTAGCTCTAAGTGACATCAAGTACGACGAAGTGTCTCATTAAGACATGGACTAAGATTGCTCGTGTACATGAAATACGTTTTTTCGGAGTATGTTGACTTACAAGTCATAAATGTAAGTAGTTTCGACTAACATTTGACGGCAGTGACAGAATGTATGACTACTCTAAGTGAAAGTAGCCGCAAAATGTTAGACATTATAAACATTATACGAAATTAACTAACTCAATTATGAAACTCGCCTGGATTACTCGTGCTCCAAAGTAATTGAAATTTGTGGATTAACTTCGTAGATTAAGGAAACGTTGTAGACTGAATTGGAATAAGTCTAATTTAGGTTGAACACGTAGAATTGCCTGACGAAGTTTAAACAAGATCTAACATTGCAGGAAATTTATAGTTCAAACTCACCGTAAATTTCTAGCATTTGTATCCTCTGATTCGCCATGGAACTCAGCAATTGGAAATTAGGCAGGCAGTGGTCAAGAAAGTAAAATATTCTAGTAGATAGTTTTTGATAGTAGTTAGTTGACAGTGAATAAGCAGAAAGATGAATTTAATAATCGGCAGTTTATCCTGTATTGGTTATACAAGTGGATAAGTTGCAAACAGATATGCGTACGTGTTGCCTTGAGGCCATACTTACGAGTGGTTGATATTTTAACAGACACATTACACAGGAGCATTTACATGCTGCTAATGCTTGTTAAAGAACCACGATAGTCGATTACAGTCGTAGTTGATTGGTTAGTTCTATCGATTGAACTAATTATTTCAGTTGAAATACTAATCAACATTGATATGAAGCAACGAATGTTCACAGAAACTGATAAAGATAGCCGAAGTTAAAAATGGAAAATAATAAGTACAAAATGTAAAAAAAAGAACATAATGATAGGTTGCGTTATTCGAAGTCTTGCTCACCAGTGTAAGACCATCTACGTTGATGATCTATGTCAAAATGATCGGGGGCCTACTATAGTTAGACGAGAATGGGGACGAACCAATTAACGCTGAAGTCACACCTCGCGACCAGCCCTTACGTGGATTGAACCATCGACGCATCAAAGGATAATAGATGCTATGGAGACTGTACAACACAAAGGACGTTATGACAAGAATATATTAGTTAAGGTACAACTACGGAAGTACAGAAGTGAAAGAATAACCACTGCCGCGTGGGCCAGTCCATGGCGTACGATTGGTTTGTGCGCGTTGACTATCCACGACCTTGACAGGGATCAGTGATCTGTTCGATATTCAGTGACCCTACAACGTCATGCTATGGAGCATTCATAAGTCTTGTTCTCAATCATGCTCACGGTGTTTAATCTTCACATCAGGATGGTTATGTATCGAGTTGGACATGTCCACAGGATGTACTGAAGCATCTTCTTAATTTCATCTTCATAGTCTTCTTGGTACTATCGAAACGAGAATAGACAGTCTAATCCATCCCACTATCATTGACGGGAGCGTTGTACTCTGATTCATTCGTTAAGTTACCTTCGTTTTTTATTCCAATGAGTAACGTTGAGATTCATTCATTTTATTGAACCTGTAAATCATGATTTTTTGGGTACACGTGGTATATGATGTTAAGAAAATTTGTATCATGCACTTTCCATTGCAAACAGTCAGGTCGAGCGGACAGCGAAGTGAGAGAAGTAATTTTCAAATATTTAGAAAATGTAGGAGCTCGTCGAATTAATAAAGATATGATGGACGGTGTTTTCGAAATATATTCGGACATTAGAAACGTGAGTGAATTGAGAATGATTTTTTAATGTTTATTCACAGTTGTGTTACAAAACAATTTTTATGGATTACAGTATTTAGTGGAAGGTGAACTAAACTGCTGTTGAGTAGAACATATATTCAGTTGGTGGAAAACCGTGGCGATAGGCCAGTTAAATAGAGGATATTATCAGTATTCATTAGACAGAACTAATGATACAGAATTTCCATGAACACGGTTATACATGAACACATATCTCTACTTTACAACGACACATTCAAGTATGTTTCTTGCTGAGTATGAAACGGTATGTGATTTGGTTATCAGCAGAAGAAATTTGAATATTTTGTGTCGTTTCCATAATCGATCACTGATTTCAGATACCCTAGTAGATTAAAGCAATACTGGTAGTGTTGAAAAACACGAGGTTGTCAGAGAAGTCGATAATACCGATCATGGTCGCATAACGTAGACTGCAGAATTACATCAATAAATCTAATGGGAATATTCACCAGTTCCAACTAACGAGCATCGGGCATCAGTATTTATCTGATTTTGAAACCATTGATATTTATTAACGAAACTATTTGAATTTCATGCTTCAGCTAAATAATATTATTTATCATGTTGGCTTATTGTCCTAGATACCGCAGACAAAAATGAATAAAAGAGATGTGCTTATCAGTATTGAAGATCTGACAAAAATGTGTCCAATGGTAAGTCGAGAATGAGACCAATTTTGCATTAGTATGCTTACTCATTGATATGAGTAATAATGTGAAAAATTTAATGTTCTTAACTCCGGTTCGCAAGTGTGTGGATATGAAGATTAT